CAAATAATATTATAAATATTAGCATTTAGCTAATTCCTGATACTGCGGGTAACAGTAATATATATACTATATATATATATATATATATATATATATATATATATATATATATATATATATATATATATATATATATATATATATATATATATATATATATATATATATATATATAGTAGATAGCTCTTGTAAAAAGCAATTTAGAGGAGCAGCTCGCACGGCTTTCATGTTGGTTTTAGGAGAGTTTTTCATGTTGATTTTAGGAGAGAAAAACTGATTTTAAAAAGTTTACTGTTTTCTGAGAGTGAGTATTGTCTCAAATTGACTCCGAGAGTCCTGATCTGCTCATCATCTTTTTTAACCATGCATAGAGAAAATTTGCAGATATTAAACAGAAAGCATTACCTTGAATGTTTTTTAACAATTCTTTTTACATCATTAAACTTGATAAGATTCAATTGATTAATAGTGAAAAACGGAATCTGGGGAAAATCTTGCAATTTGGAAAATTTCTATATTTAAAACCACAATGGAGCATAAACTTTAACAATTTAATGGGTAAGCTTTTTTAGACTTGCGTTTGGAGAAACATCTGGAGTGTATAAACAAAAAAATTGTATAGAAAGAAAAAAATTTTGTGGACCGTTTGTTTTTCCATCTAACTTTTTAAAAAGGGCTTTTAGTGGGAGTTTATTCTGATAAAGGCTACAACCTATTGTGTGAAGAATCCTTCCTATCAACTCTTCTAGATTAAACCCCGAGACACTCCTCCAACCTGTATTTGATGAAGTATTGTCTAAAAGAATAGCACGGATGGTCTCCAGGCTGTCATATTCTTTAAGTACACTAAATGTTTCAAGAGCAAGAACACCCCCACTAGTACCAACAATGGGTATTGTTCTGTGTGTCAAGTAGATCCTGTGAGATTTGCCATCCTCATGTGTAAAAGTAAGGTGATGCTCTGCAGCAACACATTTTGTTATGAAATTTTTTCTTTCAGAATTATTTGTTTCTAAGTACATTTTCGTGTTCTTATCTATCTTTTCATATAAAACAATGCAAAATAGTTATTTCTTCTCTTCTGAATATGTATTTTTTAAAATTATTTTAACTTTTGACTTAACTCTGTCTAATTTACACTTATCTATTAGAACATTGTTGATATCAACTTCCAGTAACAATAGATGCTTGATATCATGGAGTAAGGGGTTTACAAGAGCTGTGCCGAGATTTAAAGAACATCTGCCTCTGACCAGCTCCATTGCATATCTTGGAAACTTTTGAATACTATAATCTGCCTGAGTTCTTTTACTTGGTTTCCATTTATCCTATTCCTTAAGTAAAAAATTAAAAATACTTATGATAAGTGATTTTATTATTAATAAGTGTTAAATATATACTAAACAAGTTAAAATTTTAAGTCTACGCAAATAAAAATACCTGAAATGTTATTATTTTAGATATACATTCTGGGGGATTTGGTAAATAACTTCTAGATTAGGCTTCTAGAAAGGCATCTAGATTATTTTTAACAAAATGGTGGATAGCAATATCTATGACTTTTTGATAATGTGGATTTTCATCTGGTCCTCCATCCACCGTGAAGACAATAATAGGTTTAATCGTCTTATCTCTGCCATTTTTTGTTATTGCATCAAATTCTCTGCACAAATTTTAGCTAGAGTTTATCTCTTTTTTTTTTCTAGTTTTTTTCTGTCTTACTTGTTATTTCTTTTTTTTTTAACAAACTTTTCTCCAACATATCTATTTTTCTTCTTTTCTCAATAAGCTCTGCTTCTTAATCATTTGTAATAATACCACTGTCTTTTCTTTTTTGTAGTCCAACTAAATCACTCTTAATAACATCAGTTTAACTTTTAGCTCATCTTGAACTTTTGTTTTATATTTTCCTACATTTTTAGCACCAGATGATGAAGTTATCATAGAACATTCACAAGAAGAAGCTTTATATTTATTACCCCCTACAAAAGTATCTGGTAATTTTGCGAAAATATCTGGGGCCAATGATTTACGAGGTATAGTTTTTGCATCGTCATGTCGTAATGATTGATTTGCCCAGAACCTCATCACTGTATATTTTTTCTTTTTGAACAGAGAATCATATTCTCTTAACAAAGAGTCTACTTTTGCAGAAAGATTATCTTCAGATTTCACTTTACTCCAGATATCATTAACTTCTTTTTGACGTTTCCTCTTCTGTAAATATGCCTTAACATAGGCATCATAAAATGATGCGTATAACTGTTCTTTGTCCATTTTTGTGTCATGAATTACCTAGAACACTCATTTAGAGAAATTAAAAATATTGCATTTATGCCATAATATAAATTACTTCTAACTTAGTTATACTGACTGCTAACTAGCAACTATCCTATTTACACTTTTATTTGATAATAATCTTTGTTTCCTATTGGCTATTTAAAGCATGTGCAAGTCTATTTAACTTAGTTATTATATATTGTATATTTATTTAGTTATATATTCTTGCTTAAATGTAAATGTAACTAAAACGAATGTTCATATAATGTCATAAGGTTCACAAAAATAAATAATATAAAAGATAATATTTTTAAAATGTTTTGTTTACTTTAGGCAGTTTTTGCAAACTTTTTAAACTATTTAAAACTATTTAAAATATGGCGATACGCATAACATAAGAAGTGTGAGTAAAATTTTTGACAATCTGAAACACTCCTTTAATTGAATGAGTAAATAAGTTGAAATTAAACTGTCATGCTAAAATAATATTTGTGACGTCACATTCATCAACCCCCCCTGTCACAAATTGTCACAAAATTATGCCTCCTCTCCCTCCCTCCCTCCCCCTAATAGCATGACGTACTTTGTGAATGACCCCCATCTTGAACAAATGTTAACTGCATCTAGCTTCTATCTTGTAGAAGGTCTACTAGGCAAAGACTTATGAGATAAAGAGGATAATTCTGTTGACCAGCCTTGCACGCCTTCTTCTATTTGGTTAGCGTAGATATAAACCTATATTACATTGTTTTCTGCCTAGATTAATAAATGCTGGATTTCTTGATCCAGCAACTTCTATTAAATTTAAATATTTTTATCTAATCTAATTGTATAAAAAAAAAAAATTAGATTTATTTTTTATATAATTAGATTACATAAATATAGTTATATTTAAATGATAAAATAAGATATAGTTATAATTAAATATAGTTTAATTATAACTGTATCTTACATATAGTTAAATTTAAATAGAAGTTGCTGCCTTTTTAATTGCTGTTTTCTTCTCTAAGAAATTCTTCAATACTGATTAACAAAAATATAAAACAGATATTAACATACCCAAATGTAATAAAAATCAACTGCAAAATAAAACATATTTAAAATAATATTGGGCATACAAAAAAAGATGTTTTTGTATAATCAAAAGTATAAATGTAACTTGTGTAGTACTAGGTTATAAATGTCTCCTCAGAATCCCATTTATTATCATTCTATATATTATGGAAGTTTCAAAGAGACTCAACAATAACAGATAAATATAATTGCCAATTATGTTTTACCTTGCAATTTATTCCTGTTTCAAATAATGTTTCAAATGGCCAAAAAACAAGTGCACCCAAAATTTGTAAAGCACCAATACTTTTGAAGAAATATCATTAAAAAGGAAAGTGATATAAAATAGTTTTCAAATATCAAAAAAATAGAAACGAGTTGTCCAAAATTGTTAATAAATAAATAAATAACATCTCAAATTGAGATTTACTGAGACTAAATTCTGCTAATTCAATTCTAACACTTAATATTGATCAACCTAAAGAAAACTTTAGAGAACATAATAAAGTAATTATTATTTTAATTTAAGTGAATTTTAATTTTAAGAGAATATTAAAAAATATTCTAGAGAACATAACAAATATTAGCATAAAAATGATAACAAATGTCCTAATTAAAATCTTTTGATGCTTAATAAAATGCAAAGTATTTGTGAGTAAAAGGGAGAAAAAGCAGAGTAAAGAAGTATTTTTTTTACATACTTTATGCATTTTTGTGGAGTCTTTACTTTTAAAAAGTTAATTGAAGCCTGTATTGATGTTTTGTATTTATCTTTGCATTTTGAAGTATCAATTATTAAACAGTTATTTAAAAAAAAAATTCCTCAAACAAGACAATAAGAATGGTTTATTTTTTACATATAGATAGTAAAACTAACTATTAAACAGTTTTAATTTCATATTATAATGCACCTTATAAATTAAGGTTGGCTTTAAAAAATTACTGATAACATCATACTGAAAAAGTCATCTTTTGGGTTTTAGTGCATGTCAACTGTGGGTTTGAGTTTGAAGTATCTATGTTTGAGTAACATTTATCACAGCAAAATAAAGCTGTTCTTTTTCAACGTAAATTGCATAATTTTTTTAACTTAACATTCTGTCATTTGCAAAATCAAAGTGAGCAGAATATGTTAGTATCCTGCTATTAAATATCCTGCTACATTTTAAAATGGAGTAAAGTTCAAAAAAAAGTTTATAAATGGATTTTTAATTTAAATTTTTAGTAGAGCAGAAAATCTCAACAAAAAAAATTTTTTTTGTTGCATTAACACTTTCTATAATTAAAAATGGAATTTTTTTTTTTTCACAATTATTAGTATACTGCTGCAGTCATTTTTCAAAACAACTGAAGGTAAAAAAAATCAAATTTGATTTTTTACAAAATAAGCTTATTTAGATGCCTACAAATGTTGTTAAATAAATATTTTTGAAGAATTATGAAAAAATTCATAATAGTTATTAGTTTCAAAAAACATTTAACAAAGAGTTTCTCCTTTTAACTTTTTTTAATTACGTCTTTTTCAAAATATGTAAAAAAACATCTTAAGGCATTTTGATAAATGTTTAGTTTAACAGACTTGTTGTTTTGTTTTTTTTTTAATTTTTTGTATTGTTTTTTTTTTTTTTAGTTTCAATTTCAAGTCTTAATGTTTTATATATTTGTAGGAAAATGGATCTGAAGAAATAAACATCTCATCAAGGAGTATTTCATTAGGTTTTAGCAATCTTATTGAGACTTCAATCCAATCTGCTTCTAACATAAAAGATCAGTTAATAAACGCTCAATTCAATAATCTTATAATCCCAAAATATGAAAATGAAGTAAATTTATACCCAAATTATGTTACTTCGGCTTGCACTAATAAAGTCAATGTACCCTTGCTAACTGGTTCCCAGTTACAGACACCACCTTTTGGTATCAACAGAAATATTCAATGCCCAATACAAGTGTCTATTGCACAATTAAAAACACCTCTGGTTATTAGTCAGACAAGTGAACCATCTTCTATTGTAAGTACACACAGTGTAAAATATTCAACAGCTCCTGTCAAAAGTAAACTTATAAATCAATTGCAACCCTGCAACAGTAACAAGCACACCCATTCTTCAATGTCAAATAGTTTTGAAACTGAAGACTTTTCACAAATAGAACCAGGTGTTAGGGTTTCCTCATTTAGAACATTCTCAAATCTTACACCTAAAGAAATAGTTGATGAAAAGATGATTGTAAGTTTTTTTTTTTGTTTTTTTTTTTCAAATAAATGTGTTTAATAGTTTTTTAAAAATAATTTATTTTTTACAAAAAAAGTAAAAAAATATATCTTTGAAATATTTTTTAAAAATTAAATTGTTATAGTCATTAACTACTATAGATTTGTTAAAAAAGTTATTAAGCAACTTTTAGAAAAGAAGGCTAACAAAAAAAACTGCAAAAAAAATAATTTCTGAAAATAAATATAATATTATGTAATAAAAATCATTTTTCATTCAGTTTCATTAAAGAAATTTTATAAATATAATTTATTAAAAAATGCAAAACTTTATTTCAATTTTGAATATTTTGCAAGGTAATGCTGAGGTAAATGAAAGCCAAGCCAATATATATATATATATATATATATATATATATATATATATATATATATATATATATATATATATATATATATATATATATATATATATATATATATATATATATATATATATATATATATACTAGGTTGGTTGAAAAGTTCGCGGAGCGGCACCTATGTTGCAGTAGTAGAAACAAATTTATAACTGTATTAAACGTATTCATTCTTCGTATGAACGCATAAAAAATTTCAAGTCGATATGTCATTTCAGTCTTTGTTTACAAGCTATTGAAATTAGACGTGTCATAGTATTTTTTAAAATGAAAAATATTGAACATCGTGCTGTAATAAAATTCTTTGTGAAAAAAGGTTTAAAGCCCATGGAAATTCATAATGAAATGGTAAATGTGTTGGGTGATGATGCTCCTTCAAAAACAACAGTATGCAAATGGGCTGCGGAGTTTCAACGTGGGCGTTCAAGCCTTGAAGATGACCCTTGCTCTGGACGTCCAAAAAGTGCTACTACTGAAGAAACGATTAATGCTGTGCATGACATGGTTATGGATGATAGACGATTGATCAAACGTGAAATTGCTGAGGCTGTGGGCATCTCAGATGAACGGGTATTACACATCTTGCACGATGAATTACGTCTGAGAAAGCTGTTGGCAAGATGGGTGCCGCATTCGCTAACTCTGGATCAGAAACGCACTCGAGTAAAACTTTCTCAAGAACATTTGGCCCGTTTTCAAAAGAATAAAACAGATTTTGTGCGTCGATTCGTAACCATGGATGAGACTTGGGTTTACCACTATGATCCGAAGCTGCGACAACAAACTGCAGAGTGGACAGAACCCGGTTGTTCAGCTCCGAAGCAAGTGAAGGCGTCAAAATCGTCAAAGAAGGTTATGGCATCAGTTTTTTGGGATGCGAAAGCAATTTTATTAATAGATTACCTTCAAACCGGTAAAACGATAACAGGTGAATATTATAAAAATCTTTTGGACCAGTTGGATAAAAAAATTCGTGAGAAAAGACCTGGTTTGCTGCATAAAAAAATCATTTATCACCAGGACAACGCACCTGCTCATATCAGCGATGTTGCAAAGGCGAAATTGGTCGAATTAAAGTACGAACGCTTGGAACATCCACCTTATTCACCAGATCTGGCTCCGTCCGACTTCCACCTCTTTCCACATCTCAAAAAATTTCTACGTGGAAATCGTTTCTCATCATATGAAGAAGTCATTGCAGCCGTAAATGGGTATTTTGAAGGCCTTCCGGAATCGCACTTCAGAGATGGGATACATGAATTGGAGAATCGTTGGAAAAAGTGTATTGCTCTTAAGGGAGAATATACTGAAGAATAAAGTCATTTTTTGAATCATAAAATTGTTTTTTCATTTCCGCTCCGCGAACTTTTCAACCAACCTAGTATATATATATATATATATATATATATATATATATATATATATATATATATATATATATATATATATATATATATATATATATATATATATATATATATATATATATATATATATATATATATATATTAGGGTGGTCCAAAATTATAAATTATTGAAATTCATTTCTCCACAAGGCTGCCTTTGTTCCTATTAATATTTTCAATATTGTAGCCAAATTTGAAGCAAATCGGATAATATTTAGGGGTTGCTATAAATTTTGACTTTTTGACCACAATGATAAAAAAATCAAAAAATTTAAGTTTTCCTTATAAATATAATATCGAATTTAAAAATTAATGCCACTAACAATTTAAATCAGGTAAATAGAATGCCTGTGGAGTATCTAATGAATATAGATCATCAATTGATCAATTTTTATTAAAGTATATCAACGTTTCGTAACTTTCGTAATTTTTAAACAAAAAACTGTAATATCAAGAATATTGTGAATATGTTGAAAAATGTATGTTTATTAATCAACGATTTCATCATCTATCGCCAACATGGCTGCCTTGGATGAAGTAGGGTATAGCTGGCGGTGACGTTGAACAAAACGAAGTAGGAACTGCTTTTGTTCTTCATCCTTTGTAATCGATTCGTTGTACTGTCCAATTAATGCAATTCCACCTTCTGCGCTGTCATTAACAACTTTCATTCTTTGGACTCTCTCTGCCAACTTCTGATATGATTCATCGTCCTCCCAATATTTAGGATCTTTTGAAATGAAGTTTCTGGCCTCCTCTCTCCCTGTACTGCTCAACAACTCGAATAAACTATAGGTTCTCATAGTCACAAATGTCTCTAGTCTGTTGAAGTCGGTATTCTTGGAATCTACTCTCTTCAGTGCTAGAGTTGTCTTGGGCAGTTGGAGGTTAACCACCATGGCCCTCTTCACATCCAGATCAACGCAACTATCAAAAAATGCCAGACCTATAAGATGTTCCGAGAAGAACCAAAGGTTTCGAGAAAATGCAGTAAAAGCTGCATCGGCGATTGTGCGGTTTGGATACTTTTGGAACTGTTTCAGCATTTGAGCATCATTAAACGGAGCATTTGCAGCCAGTGGAGCTTCGTGTCAAAAACGTCCGTAAATTAATGCCACAAACAATGCAAGCTCTACTAGACCTTTCTTCTCTCGAACAGTCAGAGTGAGCTGATCTTGAAATAGTACCATTTTCAGAGCGTAGATGTCCTTTGACATCCATCGAGCATGATGCATCGCTCCTGGAGCTCGAAATTTTATCTCAGCACCAACAGAGCCTCCCCCTAGAAAGACCAGGCATAACCGAAGTATTTCAAGATAATCTTCCCTAGGTTGTTTTTCGTCGATGGCTCTGGTGTAGAATGCTACCATTTCCTTTCGAAAGATTTCCATATCTCCGATGAAGAGCTCATCTTTAGCTGGAGAGAATCTTGTTTGCTGAATATATGGCCACTTCTTCTGAAACCGTTTGAACAAGTTAACCTCAGGTCCCCCTGTTCCACCAAAGAGAGCTGTAAAGACATTGCTCAGAATGACCTCCAGAACATGGTGGCGGCAACCAATATTTACAAGATCACGACCAACTGCTTTCTCGATGAGAACACAAGCTCCTTTGTGGATACCTGTGTTGGACGAGGTTGTGTCAAAGACTAAACCCTGAAGTTTGTCTCGAATTTTCCAATCATCCAAGATCTTTAAGCAAGCTGCTGCTTGTTCCTCTCCTGTTCCTCTTCCAATTTTTGGAACTGCTAGCAATTTCTCTAAACCATTTCCAGTTACAATCACTGCAATTCGGTCCATGGTTTCTTTTGAACCGGTGATATCTGGAAGCAGTTTCCCATCCCAGTGTAGAAGCAAAGGAAATTCAATGGAAAAGTTGTCTTTGTCATTCTGAGTCACGTGTTTACGGGTAGACATTCGAGATCTCCTGATTGTACTTCCAGACAGAGTTAAGTCTGCAAGAGGATGTCACAGTGCCTTAGCCACTGAAGCGACAACGAACATAGCTTTGCGATCTAGAAGGTTAACTCTGTCCAAAGCTCCAGCAACTTCCGGGCTGGAAACAATACTCTTCAGACGCTTTGGCTTTGGTGTAGAAAAAACAGATTGCGATGCAGAAGACAGAATCTCAAAACTTGGGTCGTCATCGCTGTCTTGACTGTCTTCTGAGCTGCTGATGTTGGCTGAGACAGGATTGAGATGACCACTGGAGTGTTGCTGTTTTGATAACCTTGCATCATATGCTTGATCTCGAGCTCTCTTCCGGGCTTCCTTTGCCAGTAAGTTCTTATCAATTCCAGCCATGCTGCAGCTGGTAACATCTTCTCGCTGCATTGCAAGAAATTGCCTATCTTCAGCAATGGTTATTGTCTCCATTGCGGTTTTAGTTGCCAAGTCAAAAAGCTCGTAAAGTGTGTCTTTGAACATCTGTTCTTTAATTCTACTGCTTTCCAGGTCTGTAGTTTGATTCTTTTTTAGGAGCAGATAGGAATCGTATAATTTCTGAAGTTTTCTTTCACCAGAATCAATTCTTTGTGTTGGGATTCTTGCCTTATTCCACATAACAATCAGCTCTTGAATTGTATGGTGAATGCTGTCCTTTATTGTGAGATGCTCTTCCAGATGATGAAAGAGGAGACACATGAGGACATCTCCATTTGTTGCCAATCTTGACGAGGAGAGCTGCTTAGATGCTTTCCCAATGAGCAATACCTCTGCAGAGCTTCTTGTAGTAACTGCCATAAGTGGTGTAATATATATTTTTATTATTTATTAATTACCTGCAGAAGTTTAAGTTGAAATGATTCTTTGTTCTTCAACTATTTAATTTTATATAATTAATATTTAGTACTTTATATTATTAACAGAAATGAAAAAACATTACTGAAAAACATAATTTGTTTTGAAATATTGCAGACATGTGCTTAATACAAGATGGTCACTTAATCATGTGACAATTGATAAAAGATATTAGATATATAAATGAATTTTTATAGCATATTCTTTTTGAAAACTATTTAATTTAATAATAATTTATTTGTAATTCATTATATTAACTATATAATAAATATATATATAAAATATAATACTTAAGTATAAGAATATTTGTTACCAGAAATAAAAAAATAATCCTTATAAAATTTTTATTGAAATACTGCAGACATGTGCTTATTACAAGATGGCCGCCAAATC